CTTCCCAGCTATAGCCATCATTTGACGATCACATGGCACCCTGTTGCAGCTCTTAGGTGAGTATATGTTTTCAGCTCCTATTTGTGTTTAATGTAAATGTAGCATTTCTTCAGTTAGACTATAAGTGCTTTGAAGCAGGGAGCGGTTTGTCACCAGACCTACATAACTCATAGTGCACCTAACATAGATGTCACTCAAAAAGCCATATGAAGGATTTACATATGCAGGGGAAAACAAAACAAAACTAAAAACAATTCCTAGTAGTTTTAAGGTAAACCCAAACATTCCTAAAGATATGAGGGAACAAATGAGGAGCAAATCCTATTGAATGAGGAGCCCAAGTAAATGATAATGATATGAAGAAGAAGAAAAATAAGAAAATAAGCCTTTTCATTACCTAATAACCTTAAAATGAAAACCAACATTTAAGCCTATTCCCACTTATGAAGCAAAACACAAGTAAAAATTAGGGAATCAGTTCTCTCTGGGGCTAGCAAGCAGAGTTACGCCTCAGAGGAAAAGGGCAGTGGGTGTTTACCCGTTAGCTTGTTGTCGAATGACCCAGGCCAAGGCACTAAAAAGAAAATGATAGGTTAGGCCTACTTCCACTTTGAAGATGCCTCTTGTAGACATCCCCACGCTCAATCTAGACAACCTCAGAGACATTTCAATCTTGTCTCTGTTACAAATTATGCTTCAACAGTGACCGCAGGACATCCAGGAGCTCAAGTACTTTAACAGAGGAACATCACGAGGAAGACTAAAGTTCTCTCTCTCCAAACACAATCTAGTTTTGAAAAAAAAAACACACCCAAAAAACCAACTCTGACTAGGTTACAGCGTGTTAAGTGAGGTGTCCAAGACAGAGAATGACTCATTAGCAAAACTAAGAATAAAACATGGGCTTCACACCCTAGAAACCCTGAATTTGAAATGAAAATAAAAAGTCTATGTGCAACTCGGAAAAGAAGTTCTTTTGAAGTGTTTCTCTGAAAAGTTTGTCTCTTTCCCGCTCCCTCTCTCTGCCTTCGTCTCTTTAAATTTCAGCTAAGCGCTCTAAAAGGGTTATGTTAAATATGGTGGAGTTAACCCTAGAGGATAGAAACTAAAGAGAGTTGGAAAGAAAGAAAGAAAGAATTAAATGAAGTTACCATTTTCAATTCTTGTGATGGTTGGATTACTTTAGTAACTCCAAATTCAAACCCACTGCTGTCTATCAAGTTGAGTCTGATTCATAGTGACCCCTTGCAGGTTTCTAAGACTGTAACTCTTTAAGAGAGGAGAAAGCCTTCTCTTTCTCCAACATTTATTTTACAGGACAGTCTCCTATAGGAAAAAACATGCTCACATCCCAAGATCAGAAAGTTTAAGTTCAAATTCTCGTGTTCCTTTATGAAATCCGAGCTAAGTGACAGAGACTCGGCCTGTAGAGATACTATATGGAAACTCAAAAGCCAGTATAAGTGTTAAGTTCGTGACCCGGGATTTTACGTTGCTTTTCTCTAATATCTTACAGGTTCAGGGACTCTCACACTCACTGTCATTGTTTCAATTCCGACTCACAGCAACCCTACCCAGGGCTTCATAGGCTGAAGATCTGTGCAGGTGCAGGTAGCCTAATTGGACTAATTCTAGGCAACACTGAAAACAAACCAAGTTTAATTTGATCACTCTTCCCCTTTCCAATACCCTTCTACATCGTTGGTCTCACCCTGGTTTGCAGATTTCCTACTCCTATGCAGTAACAACACAAATGCCCCTCTCCTTTTATGCCATCCCCTGCCCTCCCCAGCTCCCACACTCAACGAAGGGCACAGGAAGGTGTCCACACCCCTATGGCCACACTCCTGCATAGACATACAGAGATGAGGGCATATTGAAGAAGAACCGAAAGTCTCCTGTCTTCTGGCATCACTGTAACACTGGACCCCGAAAGACAGTGCCCCTTCTCTCTTGGCACAGCCCAGAAAAGTTGCTCTAATGAAGCGAATTGGGGTTCAAGTGCAGCAGAAAACCTACCAGGGCAGTGCAGGTGGGAGACAGCTGGGGGAAGGCAGAGGTTTTGCAGCACCATTCATGGAATAAGACACCCACCACTGGCATATGCCCCACATCAAATGTCTATTTCATTTTTCTAAATTGCTTACCAATAATTTCTGGGCACAAGACTATATGTTTAGGGCCCAAATTGGCCTTAATGGAGTTCAATACTAGAACCATTAAAGCATTTATGAAACAGTTACCCAACATGAACAGTGGCCATTTTTAAACATGGAACACCAAGTGATATTAAGTAGCAATTTATATTAAAATATTGTCCAGCCAGATTTCCACTTATAGGCTGAAGGATTGCCAAAATATATTTTCACCTTTTTCCTAGAAGCGTTCTGAAAGGCATGAAAAGCAAATTTTTTTTCTTCAATGTGCAGGAAAATTAAATGTGCAGTGAAATAGTAAAGTCCCTTTCTTAGTGATGCTTTGAGATTTAAAAACCCGTCAAGCTTCTGATCTTTTTCTGATTACCACTTAAAATTAATTTTAATAAGAATAATTATACACTCCAACTAATACTTCTTGACTGTTCTTGCACCAAGAAATTTAATACTACTAATTATATAGATTTTTAAAGACCTAGTTTTTTTTTTCTATCTGGCAATGTGTTATTTCCAAAACCATTTGCTTCTAACATGCAGTATGCAAAAATCTGACATTGGTGAAGGTGATTCAGTGGTAGATCTATATTAATAGCCTATATTTTTAATTGTCAATGTTTATTATTTATTTTTCTTAGAACACAAAGAGCCTTATATCCCTACACTTTATTAAATATCAATTAAACATAAAAAGAATGTATACTCAAAATGAAAGTTTATAAATTATTAAGGACAAAGAAAATTTATGTGTGAACAAAGACAATGTATCTGCTGATTTTGAAGTCTTTTTATCCATTTAAAAAAGTTGTTTCCTAATGTAGCCATTAATTGTAAAAACACGATATCCATGTCTTCCTAAATGTTGCATATGTGTAGAGCATGTTTTCATTTCCAAGTACTGTTCCACCTCTTTCCTGCAGTATGTAAGATTTCAAATAGAGTACATCATTGTAATTTAGAACTCATTTATATCTAGTTTCACAAATCTCTTAAGAAAGGATTGGCAAACACCTGTCTTTGCAAACCAAAATTCCTCTATGAGTGTCTTATTTGAAGATGTGAAGCTCCTCCTCAGCTACAGCTGTCTCAATTCTGCCTCTTGACCAAAGAAGGAAGCCCTTTGTCCATTCATCACAATGCCTGGCTGCACACTCTGCTTTGGATCAATTTCAATACCTGCTTTCTTTGCTGCTACATCAGCACTTCTGAGCTCTGATGGAGAGAATCACACACAACTGCTTGGATCGATTCCAATTCCAATTTATGGCTTCCCCATCCACTGTGCCCTCATCATGGCCTGGCAAACCTTCTATGTTCCCCTAAGGCAGCACTGTCCCAGGCTTGAGTTGGCAATTCCAGTCTTTTTCCTCCTCAGACCTCCTATGGCATCTCCTAACCTGTCACTACACTGGATTGGGGCTCGTATTCTAAGGGACGCAAGAGCCTCAGACCTCCCTTAACGCTGACCTTGTCTCATGGCTCTACCCCATCGTTGTCCTGTAACACGGCTCCTACCTCCTCCAAGATCAGTCCTTCACATTCCATCTTCTCCTCCTGCCTTTTTCACACCCCTTCCTTTGCATACAGCTTCCTTTTCAACAACACATCCCCTCCCAAAATCTCACCATTCTGAAAATAGTTTTACTTGTCCCTTGCCAAATTATAGTTAGTCACTGTAGAGTTGACTTGACTCCACGTGGTCCTCCATAGTGTATCAAGTCATGGCCTTTCAGAATCAGTTACCTTTGGGAGGGATCAATAGCCATGGCCTTAACCAACCACTGATGTGACCCGGGGACGTCTTTTCTTGTGCAATTTTTAATGCCTTGCATATGACCTCGCCTCCTACAGGTGACCAGATTTTAACATTGGTAAAGAGGGACACCATTGACAGGGGGGGAGAGGGTTTTTTTTTTTGGGGGGGTCTTGATTAAAAATCTGGTCTATATAGACCAAATAGACCATTCCCTAGCTTGTTGTGCGTTCTTCCCCCAAATCGGGACTTTTTTAAAATGCCGCGGGACGTTTTAAATCGGGACTGTCCCGCCAAAAGCAGGACGTCTGGAATGAGCTCCAATCATTGAAGCTAACGCATGCTTAGCAGTTCTAATAACAACCTACTACTAATAAATGCGAGTGAATCTTTAGTACTACTATTATCTGTCCTACCCTTATTGGACCATTTGAGTCCATGTGATATTTTGAATTAATCCATACCCACACCCACCCACACCCAAAGTTCTCTTTTTCCCACTTCTAAGGCACTACATGCCCTTGAATTTCCTTTCCCAGTTTTTTTCTTCCTATCCATTTGTCCTGATATGGAAGTCCTACGTCCACTCCACCCCTGCTTCTCTTACTGTGGTATTTGCCTTGAATGGTATAATTCACATTTGTAGTCTCCATTAGCCAGAAGGCTGATTCTTCCAGAATTATAGCCCAGCGTATGCAAATGTTTCCTATATATTTTCACTAGGACATGCAATACATACCTAACTTTCTCATGCACAATCATAACCTACTTATTTGTACGGCAGTTACTTAGCAGAACAGGGACTAGGGTGTCCAGCGGGCATGCGCCAATTCAGACTCCAGCTAGGAAAGGGCGGCACACATAGGTGGGTGGTACACCTTGATTGGCCCAATCTAGGTCAGGTGGGCTTAATTCAGCCAATCGGGTCAACCAGTACCATTGACCACACCTCCCAGCGGAAGGCCCTAAAAACTGGAACTTGGAGACCGCCGCTCTTTTCCTACTGCTTTTTTCCAGTTCACCGGGCCGTTCTGCGGTCTCTCTCTCTCTCTCTGGCCGCAGGGGCACCACTTGTGGGTGTGCAGTCCCCTGAGGGTGCTCGTGCGGGTGACTGTAAAACCTGAAACTTGTATCCTGTATAAAAACTCACCTGGACCGCAAGCCAGGCTTTGGCGCCAAGAACCGAGGTATTTCCCCCCAAGGAATCTAACATAACCACTTACTCTCTCTGGATTCTCTGTTAATTTCCCTGGCTTAGTAAATGATAGAAATTCCAAGCCAGATCAGAAGACACTTAAAAGAAGGGGTATCATTTATGTCAGATGGATCTTAGCCGAAAATGGAGAATAACCAAAAAACTGTTTGCCGGTGTTTTAAGGATCATGCACAGGTATTCCACTGTGCAGATTATAACAAATGATGGATAATATTGCTAAGAATGGGAAATCCAGAACAATCCATTGTGCTCACATCAGACCAGACCAAACCCACTGCCATGAGTCAGTTCTGACTCACAGTGACACCGAAGGGCAGGGTAGAACTGCCACGGTGGGTTTCTGAGAATACTTTTTCTGGGAGTGGAAAGCCCCGTTTTTCTCCCATGAGAGCCGGCTGGTGGTTTGAACCGCTCTCCTTGCAGTTAGCAGCCCAAGGGGTAACCATTGTGCCCCCACTGTTCTTTTGTGCTCATTCAGAGCCTGTACATACGAGGGCAAGTCAAAATGTATTTCTACCTGGGTTTCAGTTTATGTCTGCACAGGTTTATTCCAAAACATATGTGTTTAAACCTCTCTCTGTGCTCAGGGCCCGACGACGGGCAATTTCTCTCAGTCCTATATTTGTTTTACTCTCATTAGGGTGTCTTCAAAAAGGAAAGGTACAATCAAACGAACTTAGGAGCGGGGATCGGCTGGGACGGTTCATTTCAACGCAGTGACGTCAGGACAGAAAGTTACGGTGACAGGACGATTTTGAAGAAAGAGGTAACTTTATTTTAACATTACATATTGTCATATAGCCATAGCATCCTTTACTTATATAACTCTCTTATGAGATGGGAATACTTTCTTGTCGTTTCTCACTGTAAACAAATCTTTGAATGAATAAATTCTCCAAGAGGTCACCTAAATAGGTTTTCTCACAGTACATGAGAGTCTATTAAGAACAAGTTTTAAGGCATTTAGATAGTTCATTTCTGAAAAATAAAAATAAGGCCAGAAAAGTTGTATCATTATTATTTTTTTGTTCATCACCACAATGCATCCACTCATTCTTTGATGTAGCAAGGGCTGCCCTATAAGACTTGCCTGGGAAACCTTACCCCGTCCACCACATCCATCAGACTTAATTTCCTTCCCCACACTCCAAGAACATTTCAAATGAACCCTCTGGGTCTTTGTAGCGTGCCAACATTGCTATTTTGAGGTGATGCAAATCAAAGAACATGGAATTCTTCAGGGAAGAATTTGAGAGATGGAAACACTCTTCAGAAGGATATAGACCTGTTTAAAAGCTGGCAAGTAACCATCAAAGGTGGGCCTATTGATTTGTTTCTGGAAGAGGTAAAAAATTTAAATGTAGAGAAACAAGCATTGCTATGGACTAATGGACCATAAGAAATTCAGTCTCCAAGATGCGGGGACCAAAACATCTGGAAGGTGCTTGGCAACCAATACCAACTGCTCTGAAAGGGGTCACATTAGAAGGTCCTGGACAGAGTGGGAGAAAAATATGGAACAAAACTCAATATCTTAGAAAAGGCCAGCCTTCCTGGTCAGATAGAGACTCGTGAATCTTAGAGACTTTGGCTCTTAGTCATTCATAGATCAGTTTCAGCCAAATAATAGGCAGGTCTTTAACACAAGTGCGATAAGGATGTTTGAGAATATTCAGTCATTTGAGATCAAAAGAGAAGCATTTACCTAAGGACAGAGTTCAGAAGAATTAGAACAGAAAACAGAGACACTGGGAGGAAGGAGGGTAAATGATGTTCTATTTTGGGGATTGTGATCATGAAATGAAGCTAAACATACATGAATTCTTGAGTGGAAAGCTGGTCTGCTCTGTAAGCCTTGATTCAACCTACAAAGAAAAAATGCTTTGAAACGGAAAGAAGATAAGAAAAGAAACAAAGCCATGTACTGCATTATGAGGAAACTTTATGATATAGTTGTCATATTATGATATGATATGGTCATAATTTTATATCTGAAGAAATGGACTTCTTGAGATAGTGTTTTCTCTCATCTTACCTATCTAGTAAATGGAAGAACTAGGCATAAAGCCCCACATATCTGATTCAACAATGCCTACATTTATATAACTTTATAATGAAGGATAAAAAAGATTCTTATTTTTGGGCAGTTAAGTCACTAATAGATATGTAAGTTTGCACAACTTTTAAAATATATTTAAACTGTTGAATTGTATGATACATGAATTATATACAAATAAAACGATATGTCCATTCTGTATGTACATATACACAGACTTATATGGAAGATATGCCAATAATCAATATTTTCATGTTTGATATTTTTGTTTAACAAACCACCCTATGATTTTATAGCCATAGTTTTATGCTTCTTCTTTCATAAGCATATCCATTTTAAATCAGAAAATTAAAACAGGAAACTTGGAATATGATGTGATAGTATCTCAGGATGTGGGCCCGCAGAGGGTATATGGAACCTGTGTATGGTTTTAGAATGTGTACCCAGAAAGTTTGGGGTATCTCATACTTGTCATTGGGTTGAGGCCCACTAAGCAGTGGGTTGAAAATAGAAATATCGGCTGTCACAATTCACTAATGTGTGGCTCATGTTATCAAGTCTCTAGATTTTATCTAAGAACTATGCACTGAGTTAAGAAAAGAGGGACACCGTGACAGGGTTTTACACATATGCATAAACATAATTTTTTAAACCACTGAATATTTTTTCTTCTTATCATTTTATTGGGGGCTCTTACAACTCTTGTTACAAACCATACATCAATTGTATCCAACATATTCGTACATATACCCATCGTTCCTTTCTAGACATTTACTTTCCATTGAGCCTTTGGGATCAGCTCCTCCTTTTTTCCCTCCCTCCTGCCCCCGCAACCCTTGTGGCCCCCTGATAGATTGTAGATTGTTAATTATTTTCAAATCTCACTGTGACCGCCCTCTCCCTTCCCCTCTG